TCATCATCAGCAGCATTTTGACGCCCACTGTTGTGCAAACAGTTATCCTTAAGGGTCCTTGTGCGTTTTCATAATCGCTGTTTAATTAGGAAATTTTGAAAAATTTTCATCAGTTTTTCTTCAAATAAAAATTGTGCATAAATTAACGAGTAATCTTCTAAGTGTTATACCATTTTGGAATCGTTATTAAATGCGCCAACTTTTAATGTTACTTGCCAAACTCTCGTAGTACATTTTTTCCAGTACAGCCAGTTAAAGTTGAGCAAAGTTTTACTTTGGAATACTTGGTTGGGAAATAAGTGGCAATTTTTCCTGAACGAGAAAAGTTGGCAGTAAGGTTGAGACACCAGTTTGAAGATGCATTATTCATCATTACATTGTAAAAATGAAATCCAAGAAAAGTTAATATTTGTAGTAACAGGAGTTGACAGACTGCCGCAGGGTGTGAAATTTCTATATCTTTTTCAAAGACCTATAATTTTCAAAACACATACATAAAAATTTTTTAAATATTTTTCTGATAGCTGTTATGACTTTGCCTATCACCCGGTTTCGGCTTGACGTCGACTTCTGGGACACCCTGTGTAACCACTCCACATGATAGGTTATAAATATTATAAAAAAGGTTATCTATGGATATAGGAATTAAATGTTGGAACTAAATTTATCATAAATATGTCACAAACAAGCAGTTTCCGTCATGACATGTCTTAGCAGCAACTTTACAAAAACATACATGTATATAACTATAATGTATATACAGCTTTGTTACGTATACAAGAGAGGAAAAGTCCAAAAACTTCGCCGACATATCAACTAGTAATAGTCCATAATAAAAATATACACAGCACAACAGCGTATCCTATGATACACGAAGCGGAAATTTTGTTAAAAAAGTCCACGTCAACTTTCTAAATTGGTATACATTTACGAAATGGATGGAAATCTTTTTAGTTTCTCATTTCTCTTCTCGCTTAACACTATTTATTGTTTATTACGTATATGAGTTGCAAATAGTATACTTTAAATGTACTCGAATTGTTTGTAGCTCACTTTTTTCACACCTACCATAACGAATAAAGAATAAAAAAAAAACACAGAATAAAATGTTCTACTATACTATTTCCATGCGATTTAGAAGACTTGTTATTCAGAAGCTGCGACAGTGTTTCGAAGATTTCGAAGAACTTCAAGATCCGATGAATATTTTCGAATGGAACCTTTTTCACATCAACTTGGTCAATGGTCAACATCGTCTTCAAGATCAAGTCAAATTTCCTTTTGTTTTAATCTTGATCTACAGACGCTAAGATAGTGAAACACCTGTCATAAAATCAAGCGAAGTTACCGAATGACAAGTCCATGAAAACGTAGCAATTCAAAAGATGTGAAACGTCAAAAAAAATATCTTTTTATAATAGAGAATATTCCCAGCGAAATTCGCATATACCTTTTTATACAATTATATGATAACTATTCCTATTAATACTGAGATGAGCATTAGAGATTCAAAAATTTGCGTATACATCAAATGTGTCCACGAAAACGTACAAACTCAGTCGGTAACATCGGTTCGTATGCTTCCGTTATGTTGAGGTATATATTACGTATACAGGTTTCATTTGTTCACTAAGAATTACAACTAAATCAGCCTTTTGAGCGCACACAACGTCGCCAGATCTACTTATACACGCTTCCGACTAACAGTATTTACATAGGGTGCTTGTCTTTGGATACCTTTAACATTTTTGAGTCATCAAACTAAGAAACGGACTTTTATCAGACGACATATTTTACTGTACACGTTTAGTTTATGTTACGTCACGGATTAGACCACCTCAAGTTTAACATACAGAAGAGCAACTGGAAAAACAACAAATTATTTTTGAGGGGATAATACTGTCGACAAGGCATTAATAACATGCTGTTAGGGATAATATACAAACAAACCATTGAATTCATTGAAGAAAACAAAATTTTGACAAAAGACCAAGCTGGATTTAGAAAAAAATATTCTATAGAAACAGCAATGCAAATGGTGGTGGAAGACTGGAGAAGAAGTATAGATGAGACAGAATGAATTGTAACAGTATTTATGGTTTTAAAGGATCAGTATTAAACATTTTACAAAATAGAACTAAAAAAACTAAAGCATGTCAAGCGTTCAAACTTTACACTATTCAGAGAATATGTCGATTTTTAAAAGTCCGTTGTAAATATTATCACACATAAAAGCATTTTCAGCGATCTACAGTAACTAAACAGATATATAAAAATGCTTTATGTCTCAGGAATGCTATGTTTTATGCAAAAGAAATCGGTAATAATCCAATACGAAGATTGTGCTTTGTGCAAGTAACAACATTTACCTGAACATGACTTTTGGTATTGGAATATAAGATGAGAAATATTTAACCTTTAGAAATAAAACGTCTAAATCGAAAAATTGGGATCGTGACATGTAAATTCTGCAAAAATCGCCAATTTTTGCCTAAGAAACAAGCCGAAAAATCCATTAAAAATAAATCAATCTTAAAATACTCTTCGGAGTCTTGTAGAGAAAGGTTTAACTTTAACTTGGACAAATTATAATTTATAACTCGAAAACGGAAAAAGTTTATAGACAAATTAATATAGGCCTTTTTTGTTCAGAATAATCCATTTAATCTGAAGAAAATTGTTTTGAGCGAATAAATACATTCAAGGGACATTCAACAAACGTGATTAACAAAAAAAAAATAGAGTTGGAAAACCCGATATCCAGTGATCATTTTTGAGCAGACGCTGCAATATTCGTGCGAAAAATTGTTGATGTCACTTAACATGGAACAAAAGGTAGGATAATCCCGCCCGAATTTGTTTAAACAATTTTTTTAATTACTTTAAACAAACGTTTTTTCGTCAAGACAAATTTTTTCAGGATTTTTTGTCATAAAAAGGTCTCCGTAACTTTTCCCTGAATTTGACCGTTTTTGAGTTACAAGCTAGAAAACTCTGGAAAATGGGTGTATTCATTGCTCAAAAATTAGGTTAGAAATTATAATTTTTCAGGTCGCATCTAAATTAGGGTTAAAACAAGACCGCGGTTTTTTAAGACATTTATTTTTGAACCGAATTGTAACCTTGGCCAAAATTAGCGAACTTAACACAGGTTTTTTGATGAAGAAAAAAGTCAACAGTTATAGTGAAACATGCCGAATTTTTTCCTGATATGCTACGCTATAATAACATTGGTCAACACTGGTATTGCCACACGAACTTTCGACAGCTAATTTTGTTTTATCAGTCAACCCTCATTATTACATGACAGCTGTCATATGTCTATTAGCCTCATATTTGTTGTGATACGGTAATACTCATAACTAGTACTACGGCAGTAAATTAACAGAAACGCTTACAAGTAATTCCTGATAAAAATATTTGTTGTTGAATTTGAACGCTTTTTTGTGATTTATTAACCCTGTGAATATGTCGAGGAAGTGTAATAATGATCCTAACTCTTTTTGTTATGTCTGGGGAGAACTAACAATCAAAAAACAACGACGAAATTTTACGAATCTTGTGTTGGAGTGTTATCACCAATGTTTTGGTTTTTCTGTCGCCCATCAAGACTAATCCTGGGCCCCTCATGTCTGTTGCATAACGTGTGTGAAAAATTTAACTGACCGGAAGAAAGGTGCACGACCTATGCCGTTTGCTGTACCCATGATATGGACTGAACAGCGAGATCACGTTTCAGATTGCTATTTTTGTCTCACAGACATAAAAGGTATAAATTACAAGAAAAAAACCACAGCTATTTACCCTAACTTATCTTCGGCTATAAGACCAGTCTCTCATTGTAAAAAATTGCCAAAACTAATACCAGTTGCAACTACGTCTGTTGAGAACAATTCACAACCGTCCACTTCAGGTGAATGTGTTGACGAGGACGATGACTTTGAGTTAAAAGGAATTGTAAACGAGCCACATTTGATAACTCAAGGAGACCTAAATGATTTGGTTCGGGATTTAAATTTGTCAGAAAAGCAGTCAGAACTATTAGGATCACGTCTAAAAGAATGGAATTTGCTACATCATAATACAAAAGTTAGCTATTTTCGAAACCGTGATCAACACTTCAGAACGTATTTTTCTCAGGATGGAGATTTGGTGTTTTGCAATAACATAAATGAGATTATGAAAATGTTGGACATAGATTTTGATCTCTCTCAGTGGCGTTTATTCATTGATTCTTCGAAAGCAAGTCTAAAAGCAGTGTTATTGCATAATGGAAATAAGCTTCCGTCTGTACCTCTGGCCCATGCTGCAAATATGAAAGAAACCTATGAAAATATGAAACTTTTACTTGAAAAAATAAATTACAGTACATATTCCTTCAAAATCTGCGGTGATCTTAAAGTTGTTGCACTATTACTTGGACTTCAGCTGGGTTATACAAAGTTTTGCTGCTTTTTATGTGAATGGGATAGCCGAGACAGAACTAATCACTATATAAAAAAAACATGGCATACGCGTGCATTGTTAGTTCCTGGGCAAAAAAAACGTAAAGTATTTACCACTTGTACAGCCAAATAATGTGCTTCTACCACCATTGCATATCAAATTAGGATTAATAAAAAATTTGTGAAGGCAATGGATCGCAATGGGAGTGGATTTTTGTATCTAAAAGAAAAATTCCCTAAAATAAGTGATGCAAAGATAAAAGAGGGTATTTTTGTTGGCCCTCAAATTAGGGAGTTAATAAAAGATTCAAGATTTGAAGAAAAATTAAGCGATTTAGAAACATCTGCATGGAAGGCTTTTAAAAATGTTGTTGCAAATTTTTTGGGTAACCACAAGAGTGACAGCTACAGAGAGTTGGTTAGCGAGCTATTATTGTCATATCAAGCATTGGGTTGCAACATGTCACTTAAGATCCATTTTTTAGACTCGCACCTGGATTTTTTTCCTGACAATTTAGGGGCTGTCAGCGACGAGCACGGTGAGAGGTTCCATCAGGACATTTCTAATATGGAAAAGCGGTACCAGGGCAAATGGAGCCCAAATATGTTAGCAGATTACTGCTGGACAATTAAAAGGGACCAACCAGAAGCTAAATATTCAAGAAAATCTTAGATTATTAAGTCATTTATAAAAAAAATAACTTTTGATTTACGAGATCTGTGTTTTTTCTTAATATTTTAAATTACTCAATAGAATAAAATCCTTGTCTAGCAACTTTTTTTTAAACTGTTTATTTTTTCTTACAATCACCAATTAAAGTAAAAAATATCAAAAAAGTCCGTGTGGCACGACAAAGTTAAAATTTTGTTGACCAGTGTAATCAACGCTAATTTCGGTACATCATCTACGTGTCAGGTCAATGAACTTACAAACTTCACAATGAACAGTGAAACAGTAAAATATCCATTGTTTGCACAAAACATTACCACCGTTAGCTTGAAATAATGGATGACTATACTAAAATATGTATCACAAATTTATATAATAATTAAAATTAAAATGCACTTAGAATTATTTACTAAAGGTGTTAAACTTAGAAACGTAAATATAGCACTTAATGACTCTACTTCATGGCATTACGTTCCATGAGATTCTGACAAACATTTGTTAATACTTTTCATTATCGCTTTAGTTTCAATCATTTGGTATTACTTGGTACTTAAAGGGTACTTTTTCTAGCTATCGTGTTAATTGAGCCAACAGTAACAGTTCGAGGATTTGCGAAGAACTATGTGGGGCAAATTACAACTGACACCCTGGCAAAATGAGGTGAAAGTTATTTAGGAAATTTACTTGTTTTGAGAAAGTTGGCAGTTGCGTTTTCCTCCGTATACAAACTAGATAAACAATGGTGTTTGACTAAAGATTTTTTAAATCTAATGTAATGTCAGTGGAAGTAAAAAATAAAATAACGAACACGACAGTTTTTTGTTTCATTTAAGCAATATTTTTATATGGGTTAAAGTGATAATTCCAGGAGTAATGACGATTATTTGCAAATAGAAATGGGTAATTTTGGCATTGTTTCTTATCCAACGTCCAGCAATGAATTTTGTTTCTCTTATTAGGGCTATCAGATGTGGAAAATATCGCACTTTTTTTAGAACTATAGTTAAACCATTCCACAAGTTATAATATCCAGGCGGATTAGATGAAACCGATGTAAATTCCGAGTGGTACCAAACGAGCGAAACTCCAGCGACAAACCCCCGAGCAAAACAAACAAAAAGTAAGATAATTGAATTCTCTCACTGCCTATCGCTAGCAGATGACGTATCCGGACTACCGTTATAGACAGGACCCGATGCCGCTAGATGCCCGTTATCCACATGCCCATTCTGGTGGATCTCCGGATTCTGGATCTCGGAATGACCGAGTCCAGCTTGGGCGTCTATGACCAAACCTCCACCGTCCTCCCCGTCGCTGCTGAATGAATCACCTTCATCGTCGGAACTGGATAGGATGCCTGCAACAGAATACCTGAATGAAAGTGCGTCCAGCTGAGGAACGATCACTATTCCAGAGAGCAGATTTCTACTCGGTGTAGGGCCGCATGTAGTAGTAGTAGTTGCAGTAGAAAGATTTATTTAGCACATTTGGCTACATAAACAGAATAATTGTAAACAACTTAGAACTAGTAAATTCAAGCCATATGGTGTATGATGTAATGTTGGGCAACCTATAATTGTAGTTTTAACAAGTGATTTCTCAATTTTACTTTAAATTTTGTCAAAGTTTTCTGGTCTTTTATCTCCGAGTATAATTTATTATATTCAATCAACCCTTGATGGAATACAGATTTGTAGCATGTGTTATACCTTTTGGTCATTAAATGGAAGTCATCTTTATTTCTGGTATTATGTAAATGATGGTCGACATTTGTTGATGTTAAATTAGTTAGACTTGATGGAAATATATTATTTTTTACTTTATAAATGAATATCATTACAAGATATTTGATAAACATTTTTACATTGAGCCATTTTAATTTGCTAAGCATTTGCCTAATTGGAGTATATTTATCTTTATTTAGTATTATTCTCATGCACTTATTTTGTAAAATTTGCAGTCTTTCAAAAATGGAATTATTTGCTAAATATAGAATAGTCGAACAGTACAAGAAATTTGGAAGAATGATGGTATTATAGTATATGAACTCAGACATCCAGAAACTCTCGATAAATATCCCACTTTACTACTAATCTTATTTATAACTTTTTCATAATGAATATCAAAAATTAATCGAGAGTCAACAAAAACCCCCAGGTATTTAAAATTTTCTACGAATTCAATATCTTCACCATCAATATTCAGTTGAACATTTGTACATTGTTTTTTTCCGATTAACAAGGCTTTCGTTTTACTTGCATTTAATTTTAGTCTGTTAGATGCTAACCATTTTGAGACAAGCTGCAAGTCTTCATTTATATAAGAGATACCAGACTGAATATTTTTAGTACTTATATAAATCATAGTGTCATCGGCGAAAATCTGAATTTTGCATTTTTTGACTATGGCAGGTAAATCATTTATGTATAAAATAAAAAGAAGTGGTCCCAGGATACTGCACTGTGGAACACCCAACGTATTTTCAATTTTTGATGAAATAGTGTCATTAACTTTTGTAACTTGCATCCTTTTAGATAAATAATTTCTAAACCAATCTAAAACACTTCCTGTTATACCATATGCCTTCAATTTACCTAACAAAATATCTCTATCAATCGTTTCAAATGCTCTCTTCAAATCCAAAAATACTGCTATGACAACTTCTTCTGAGTCTATGGCTCTTCTCCAATTCTCAGTTTCTGTGGAATATTTTTTTTGAAAGCCTGCTTGCGCGTCCACTAAAATTTTCTTTTCTTCTATAAACTGCATTAATTGGTCATGCACTATGGACTCTAATAATTTTTCAATGTCTGGTAACACATTTACTGGTCTCATATCGCTGCATCTTTTAGAATTTTTTATTTTGGGAACTGGTGTTATTGTAGAGCATTTCAAATTTTCAGGAAAAGGACTGCTTCTCAGTGAACAATTGATCCAATTTAATACAGGATATCCCAAAATTTCGAAACAGTTTTTCAGCACGTGTTTAGTAGTAATTTCGGCACAGTTGTTATTTGATTTTAAACTGTTTACTTTTTTATTAGATAATTCAATGATACGCTATCAAATTTTGAAAGTGTTTGCAACATTTCCTCCTGGAAACTGATTTTCATATAGTCAGGTGCAGCATTGGCAGTACCCACAATATCAACAATACTTTCCATAAACTATTCATTTAGTTTGTTTGCAATCACCAAAGAATTTGTTTCGGTACAGTTTTCGAATTGAACTTGATTTACACAATCATGCGGCTTCGAATTGATCAGTCTTTTTAAAGTCTTCCACACCTTTACACTGTCGCACAGGAAAAGAACTGCTTCTCAGTGAACAATTGTAATGTAATGTACCAAGAAATATCCACTAATGTACAAACGATGCTCAAAATTCTTCTGCTGGTCAAAACTCAAAAAAGATAGATACTTAGATTTCTATACTTTCTAATGTTGTTGTTGAAGGTTTATTTAGCATTAATGCTACAATGTCAATTTTGTATAATGATTCGGCTATATATTTTTCTTCAATCCATATTCTGTAATTTTACATTCTTGTCTATTAAAATTAAAATTACGTCACTATGTATTTTGATTATTCATAAAGTGATTTTTGAATTTCACCTCAAACATTTTTAAATTCGAACTTTGTTTAATATCATTATTCAATTTATTTCTAGTTTCGTAATTATGATAATGACTATATAATTTTGTGAAATTCTCTAAATGTGGTGGTAATAAATGATTTTTTTAATTTGAATATGAAAACGAGAATAATGTATGAAATTTTTCACATCCAACCACTGCAGTTCTTCTAACATAGACTTAATCCTAGTATATTTGTTTTTATTTAAAATGATTCTCATAGCTTTATTTTGTAGAATTTGTAATTTTGAAAACACATTTTCATTTGCTGTAAACAAGATGGTTGAAGAATATAAAAAATGGGGAAGAATTATAGTGTTATACACAATTTTTTTGGAATACATGCTAAGATTATGGGAAACTCTATAGAAGTAATTTATCTTTTTCGATATTTTTGAAATAATGTATTCATAATGTTCGTGAAACAGTAGCTTACTATCCATATATATATATATATATATATATATATATATATATATATATATATATATATATATATATGTATAGGTGAAAAATTAAAGCTTCCGCCTTTGGGTACTTCGACAAAATTTAAGCAAAGAGGACTCTTTATACTTTTTTAATTCTCTCTAGCTTTCAATGGACTTTGCCATAATCATCAGGAGCTGCAATTACAATGATAACAGTAGCAACAAAACTGTAAAATGAATTTAAATTGACTCAACTTACAGTAGTATGTGAGGATGTTGCTAATTGTTGTTTACGTATAGGATGAGGGAAACGTCCAGTAACATGGTGAGAGCTGGATAGATGGTACAATGGTCAAAATTATATAAAATATGACAAGAACAAGTTAAAACAGATTAAAAATTATTTAAAAAACATTAGAGCATTACATCGTGAAGCCACTTGATGATTGCACAAAATGGTGGTCATGGAATAATGAGTGTGATTTACTCATATTTGCTAAACTGCGAAAAATTGGAGAACCTACATATCTCCCCAAATTTCGACTCTTCACAACCATAAATAGAATCTGTGTTTTGGCCGATTCCACCAGTAAATTTCATTCCACTCAAAATATAATAATTCTCTTCTCACGATTTATCAATAATTGTTAATTTAAATTCCCATTAATTAAAATATAGTTTATTCAACTGCCTCTGGTCGGTTTAACAATTTCTTACATAACATTCTGAAAATCACATCATCTGAAGTGATTTGGCAACGTTTGGCACACGCCCACAATTCGTTCCATCTTTCAACACAGGCATTGACAACCTTCGGCCTTCTGTCAAAGGGTTCATCTCACTCATTATTCCATGACCACCATTTTGTGCAATCATCAAGTGGCTTCACGATGTAATGCTCTAATGTTTTTTAAATAATTTTTAATCTGTTTTAACTTTTTCTTGTCATATTTTATATAATTTTGGCCATTGTACCATCTATCCAGCTCTCACCATGTTACTGGACGTTTCCCTCATCCTATACGTAAACAACAATTAGCAACATCCTCACATACTACTGTAAGTTGAGTCAATTTAAATTCATTTTACACTTTTGTTGCTACTGTTATCATTGTAATTGCAGCTCCTGATGATGATGACAAAGTCCATTGAAAGCTAGAGAGAATCAAAAAAGTATAAAGAGTCCTCTTTGCTTAAATTTTGTCGAAGTACCCAACAAAAGGCGGAAGCTTTAATTTTTCACCTAACTGATCTAGACGACAATGACCACGTCTCAAGTTATATATGTATATATATATATAACAAAAATAGGAAAATAATGGGCAAATATGTGCATTCATTTCGGGCCTGATGAAGCCAACCAGCAGAAATACGTATCGCTCGGGTTACCTATCCTATTCTGCTCAAATCCACTTTTTGCGGATTTTGCCCATTATTTTCCTATTTTTGATAATTTACTCTTTATATATATATACCAAGATATTTAAATGACTCGACTACTTCAATTTTTTCATCATTAATCATGTATCGTCACCTAAATGTTTCCCTATTGACATACATTTTGTTTTATTAGTATTTAATTCAAGTTTCTTGACATTTAACCAATTCATAACTATTTTAATATCACTATTTAACAGTTCTAAAGCAGTGTCCAAATGCTTATGTGCTATATATATAAGTGTATCGTCCGCAAATATTTGAATTTTGCAGTGTTCTAAAATGTCAGAGATATCATTTATACAAATAATAAATAGTAACGGCCCTAACTTACTCCCCTGTGGCACCCCTACTGATATATTTTGAACACTTGACATAATATTTCCAACTTTAGTTTTTTGACTTCTATTTACTAAATAATTTTGTAAAATGTGTAATACTGATCCTTTAAAGCCATAGTGACGTCAGTATTTCAAAACGATTGTACGAATTTAATAAATTAAGTAACGATATCAAGATGTGTGTCAGTTTGAAAATGTTCTAAGGGAAATTGAAAAAATATCTCTTGGAAAACCAGAATTCATAGTAGTGAAATTTTGTATAAAAATATGTAGTCTTGAAGACATAATATATCTTGTGATATACTGTCTAATATGGATATTATGGACATTGTAGCACTAATGCTAAATAAATCTGAAACAAACAAAATGTGGTTTCATTGGGTGAGGGAGATGGAGACCTGAAAGTGACACTGGTAATTTCACTCTGGCCCGCCAAAATCTGAAAAAAAAATATAGCTACCCTACCCACCTGACGGATCAAGATGATGCTGTACCCCCGCAGCTGCGGCAGCCGCAACAGCCGCCGCACCGGCTCCGGCGGCAAAGTCGTGCGTCCAGTACCGCCTGTTATTAGCCCCGCCTCCGCCGTTCTTGCGTTTCTTGTGCGGCGGCGACGCCCCGCCTCCCGCGCTCATCGCCCCACCTTCTTGAGGCGTCGCGCTACCGGCGCCGTCCAGCATCGGCTGCAGGATGCGCCGGCGGGCGTTGATAAACCAGTTGTTCACTTGCAGCAGCGTCAAGTTCGTCTGGGCGGCGATGTGCCGTTTTTCGTCCTCCGTTGGATAGGGATGCTGAAAGAAAAGATGACAATAAACTTACCCTGTTCTGTGAAAAGTTGAAGACTCATATACTGATGATATTTTTCCCGATCAACGAACTCGATTAGTCTGGAAGGAGCCAAGGCTATATGTTTACATATAGAACTAAAGATACGACGGCAAGTAAAATATACCCTAGTTCTGGACTCCGTGTCATTTGCTATAAAATAAAATTATCGAAAGCACTCACCACTAGATGTTGGAACAGCCACGACCTCATGACACTGGTGGCATGCTTGGGCAGCACTCCCCGCTTCTGCTTCCTTCCCGATCGGCCGCTGCCGAAATCGCTGTCGCAATCGCCGCAGTCTTCGGTGGAACCTCCCGGAGTGGTGGGGGCGGGAGACAGAGGAGGACCGCCCCCTGAATCAGCGGAGGGCGGGATCACGCCCACTGTCGCTGCGGAGGGAGTGCTCGGGGGTTGGCCCACTGTTACGGGACACAGGTTGGCGCCTAAAAGAAGACATATTTCAACAAATAGAATATGCTAAATGACATAGAAAATGCAACACCGACTAAGAGTGCGGTAATTTTGAGCATACTCTTACGTGCTTTAGGTCTACTGATGGAACTCTTATAAAATAAGTGTCTGTAAGTCTCACCTATTTGTGAAAGTGGTGTTGACCCGTGTATTACTAGATTCTCAGCAGACGGTGGAGCGGTTGGCAAGGGTGGGGTGGGGCCACCGTAGTGGTTGACTGGAGGATAGCCCACCGAGTTGTCCAAGGAACGCTCGATCATGCCACCTTGGTTAGGTATCACCTGTTAGTGAAATATGCACCACAAGTAGTCATTTGATAATTACTTATATCGGGCGTTTTTTAGAGATGCAGAACTATAAAATAATCTGGTAAATCAGTTTTTTTGATTTTTTAATATCTATTTATATACTCAGTGACATAAAACGTATGCTAAGGTGGTCGATACCCTGTTGGGGTATCTCATTCCAGGATAATGCAACTTCGTGAGTAAGAGCTGCTAAGCTTGCAAATTCAAGAGCCTCTTCAATTGGACATAGGTCAGGCCATCGTGATGGCCAAGATAAACGGTTTATGCGAAAAATAGCTTAGGGATCAACGTTTCCAATAGTGAATTCCTTGTAGTAGTAGAAAGATTTATTTAGCACATTTGGCTACATAAACAGAACAATTGTAAACAACTTAGAACTAGTAAATTCAAGCCATATGGTGTATGATGTAAATGCTGGGCAACCTATAATTGTAGATTTAACAAGTGATTTCTCAATTTTACTTTAAATTTTGTCAAAGTTTTCTGGTCTTTTATCTCCGAGTATAATTTATTATATTCAATCAACCCTTGATGGAATACAGATTTGTAGCATATGTTATACTTTTTGGTCATTAAATGGAAGTCATCTTTATTTCTGGTATTATGTAAATGATGGTCGATATTTGATGATGTTAAATTAGTTAGACTTGATGGAAATATATTATTTTTTACTTTATAAATGAATATCATTACAAGATATTTGATAAAATTTTTTACATTGAGCCATTTTAATTTGCTAAGCATTTGCCTAATTGGAGTATATTTATCTTTATTTAGTATTATTCTCATGCAGTTATTTTGTAAAATTTGCAGTCTTTCAAAAATGGAATTATTTGCTAAATATAGAATAGTCGAACAGTACAAGAAATTTGGAAGAATGATGGTATTATAGATAATTTTTCTGCTATATGAACTCAGACATCCAGAAACTCTCGATAAATATCCCACTTTACTACTAATCTTATTTATAACTTTTTCATAATGAATATCAAAAATTAATCGAGAGTCAACAAAAACTCACAGGTATCTAAAATTTTCTACGAATTCAATATCCTTACCATCAATATTCAGTTGAACATTTGTACATTGTTTTTTTCCGATTAACAAGGCTTTCGTTTTACTTGTATTTAATTTTAGTCTATTAGATGCTAACCATTTTGAGACAAGCTTCAAGTCTTCATTTATATAAGAGATACCAGACTGAATATTTTTAGTACTTATATAAATCATAGTGTCATCGGCGAAAATTTGAATTTTGCATTTTTTGACTATGGCAGGTAAATCATTTATGTATAAAATAAAAAGAAGTGGTCCCAGGATACTGCCCTGTGGAACACCCAACGTATTTTCAATTTTCGATGAAATAGTGTCATTAACTTTTGTAACTTGCATCCTTTTAGACAAATAATTTCTAAACCAATCTAAAACACTTCCTGTTATACCATATGCCTTCAATTTACCTAACAAAATATCTCTATCAATCGTTTCAAATGCCCTCTTCAAATCCAAAAATACTGCTATGACTACTTCTTCTGAGTCTATGGCTCTTCTCCAATTCTCAGTTACCAACTGGAAAGCTGTTTCTGTGGAATATCTTTTTCGAAAACCTGCTTGCGCCTCCACTAAAATTTTGTTTTCTTCTATAAACTGCATTAATTGGTCATGCACTATGGACTCTAATAATTTTTCAATGTCTGGTAACACATTTACTGGTCTCATATCGCTGCATCTTTTAGAATTTTTTATTTTGGGAACTGGTGTTATTGTAGAGCATTTCAAATTTTCAGGGAAAGAACTGCTTCTCAGTGAACAATTGATCCAATTTAATACAGGATATCCCAAAATTTCGAAACAGTTTTTCAGCACGTTTTTAGTAGTCATTTCGGCACAGTTGTTATTTGATTTTAAACTGTTTACCTTTTTCTTAGATAATTCAATGATATGCTGTGAAATTTTGAAAGTGTATGCAACATTTCCCCCTGGAAACTCATTTTCATATAGTCAGGTGCAGCATTGGCAGTACCTACAATATCAACAATACTTTCCACAAAATATTCATTTAGTTTGTTTGCAATCACCAAAGAATTTGTTTCGGTACCGTTTTCGAATTGAACTTGATTTACACAATCATGCGGCTTCGAATTGATCAGTCTTTTTAAAGTCTTCCACATCTTTACACTGTCGCACTTGTTATTATCGATTTGTTTATCGTAGAATTTCCTTTTTTCTTCTCTAATTACATATACACATTTATTCCTAAGAGTTTTATATACCTCCCAATCATCATTTGATTTTGTGAATATACATTTATTGTATTGTTTGTCTCACAAATTTTGAGCTGTCTTAATATTCTTGTTATACCAGGGTGTATTTTTTGTCGAGCAAATCACTTTTTTATCAGTTGCAAGATCTAAACAAGTTTTTATATTTCCTATTATGTTGTCATATATTTTTTCCATATTCTCACCAAAATTCCAATAGCAGCCAGCAAGTTCTCGTTCAAGTTTTTCGTACTTAATAGTATTTACGATTTTCTTAATTTTTGTATCAGAAAAATGCCCTACCAAGGGCAGCATTGTCCAACTGTGATCGCTAACTTTAGGTGTATGTACAGCTTTAATCCCTGCACATTCGAAATTTACAATAACAAGATCTAACAAAGTCTCTGATAATGATGTTATTCTGGTACTCTCTTCAATTTTTTGCTTGAACCCATAGTTGTTTATGGTTTCTTTCAATTTTCTTGTTTTCATGCTTTTACCATAATAATTTAAATTAAAATCACCTAAAAGTATTATATTGTTTCTAAAATTCCACATTTCTTCGCATTTTTCTTCAAAAAACGTTAAAAATGTATCTGCATCACTGTTTGGTGAACGGTAAAAAGTACAAAGATCATAACGTTTCCCAAATAATTTGAACTGTATATGTGCATACCAGTATGCATAGTCTAAAGTGGTACAATCGAATAATGTGATCTGTATTTTGTGGTAAACATAAATCACTACACCTCCAGTATGTCTGGAGTTGGAGTTGCATCTGTAGGTTTTATAATTAGTAATTTGTAATTCACCATCAGTGATGTCTTCTGTAGCATGTGTTTCGGTAAGACATAATACAAGTGGTTTTCTCCATCTTAAAAACTGTTGAACTTCATCTATATTATTCAGGACTCCTTGTATGTTTAAATGGTATATTGAGTTATATTCATCACTTACAGATTTAGCCACGTCTTGCAAATCTGAGCTTAGTAGTTGCTATTCATTTGCATAATTAATTTTTTCCTTCTCACGTTCAATTTTCCTTTTATATACTTCACAATTTTTGTCAAATGGTCCATGATTAATAGGTAATCCTAGATTAATGCTTGACAAAAATGTGTAAACCTTATATTCCTCGTATGTGACATGGCACTTTTGACACTATTTTATTTATCTGTCTTCCAGGTGACACTTCGTTTATTTTTTCGTTTCATTTTCACTGTGTTACTAGACTAGTCTGAAAGATCTGTCGTCTATGATGATTTCGCGTGGTGCCATCGTAAAATATGGAATGATGGCATGGCCCGAAACCGAGATAGGCACAAGGCTAGCTTTATAATCCAGTATCAAAGTCATAGGTTTTATACATTTATTTTATTTCATTTTAAAATTCTGTATCTCCAAAAAACCCGACATTCTTGTTTATCTAATACTTACTGGTTGCTGTGGAGGACTAATATTATACTGTACTGGACTGTTTGATGCCGATCCGCTTTCGGAATTCCCGTGAGACATCATATTATTGTTGTTTTCCATACTATTCATCACACCCGTACCTAAAACATCTACAGAAAAATACACCGATTTAAACATTGTAACCGTGCATGCATAATCGAAATTATTTTATAAACCTGAATGTACTCATATTACCTACATTGTGACATATAATATTAATGATAATGTTTATTGCGTAGTGCTTTAAAATGGGCAAATAAATATGGAAAATCCAGAGAAGGCATTGTCAGCGTGTGGATATACAGCCACAGAGATATTTTAAAGGGTGATTTCTTGTTAAAAAATATGGTAAAATTTTTCTATAAACATGGGTCCGGAAATGCAGAGTTCCAAGATGCAGGGTGATAAATTTAAAAAAATATAATTTTATTAATATCTTAAAAAATATTTACTCTATTCTATTCAAATTTGGCAATATTAGTTGTTGTAATTTTGTTCTAAACAGAATAAAACTATCTTAGCGAATATTATTGGGAAAAAAAAGTACGCTAAGGTGCCCCCTTTTTTGTAACTTTAATATTTGTTATTTGATTAAGCATCTAAAAATACAACTTCTTTGCATCATGTATTTTTTCGTATCTCACTCCGTTTTCAAGACAAAAAAATATAAAGCGTTTTATTGCATGGCACTGAACAAAATTGGTTTATTAATTTATGCTAAAAAAACTCACAAGTGTATTGGAAAACAAAAAAGCTCGAATTTCAACACAATCGAGAAAATAATGTTTTAAGATAATGAAAAAATATTTTTTAAATTTATCTCCCTGCATCTTGAAAACATTTCTGGACCCATGTTTATAGAAACACCCTCTAAAATATCTATTTTTCAAACACCCAGTATAATACACAAAAACTAACAAGTCATATACCTGTATGTATAACAGATATAATAAATTCTCCATATTGCAGTTTTAGTTTTTAATAGAATTATGTACGATCATTTGCTGCATAGTACAAACCCAGTTTTTTAATTTTATTATCAAACCAGTTAACGACTCTTATAAAATCTTTTTCAACAACTTGCTGCAATGTATTCCAGTTATCAGCTTTATATAATATGAGTTTTGTCTAGGAAATCATTTAAATAGGAATGAAACAACAGTGGCCCCAGTACTGTTCCTCGAAGAACACCACACTGGATGTACATTTTTTTTACTGAAAGTGTTAGATATTTCGACAGTCTGTGTCCGACCTGAAAGGTAATTTTCTAATATAATCTTTCCATAAATTTTAGACGCTCAACAAGGTCGTGACTAAGGCATTTTTCAGCTTAACAAAGACACCAATAGCAGGTACTTTACTGTCGACATTAGAGTTAATTTCATAGATCGGAGTGAAAACTGCATCTTTATTTGACTTTCCTTATGTATAATTTTTTGTCCATAAATCGTAATATCTTATTTTGTAATAGTTTTTCAAAAATTTTGACTATATTCGACAATAGTGATACGGGTCTATAATTTGATGTTTCCTTCCACGAGAGTAATAACTGTTGTTTTAAATGCATCGTACGATAATAATATCTAGAAACATGAAGCACAGTTATATTTACCCTGAGGATAATCAGATCGTAGTAAATTCTCCGACTGCATCTTTCCTTTCAAACAGGTAATGTATCTATTACAAAAATCTTTACACAGCTCCTGCACCTTTTCCAGTTCCAATAAATGTATCCTTAATACTTGAATTGCTTTTATCATCTGAAAAAAAAAATAGTTAGTTGTGAATTAGAAAAACCAGAGCAATTCGTTGGTAATAATACCACCACTTATTCCTAGTTTACATATCATTGCTTCTCAAGAATATTGACACTATCCAAAAAAAAGAGAAAAATTAGATAAAATTGCAGATCCACTCCAAATGTTGACTATTTTATCAGGAATAAAGACATTTGCAATTGTTGTCTGTCGTTGTTCGTTAATATTGGATGTTTTGGGGTTCTGTCATATTACAGTTGCGGCTTGACTTTCAAAGCATTTACTCACATTTTACAATAAGGGCAGAATCTCAACATTCTAGAACATTTTTTCACAAAAACTCATACAGTGAGTCTGATTTTCGTGAAGATGAGGTAGATTAAAATTTTTATAGAAGATCTAAGAAAAACGAAGCACCAAAAAGAGGTCCTAGAGTTACTCTGAATAAAGCGTACAAACGCAAGATTCCCATTTTCGACAAAAAGAAAAGCGCCTTACTTAATTTAATAAAATGCAATATACAGGGTGGCACATCGAAAACGAAACAGACGCATTTACCGGCAGCTCAGATTTTTTTTTGGAAAAACGCTCAGACCCGTCGATTTTGTTTTCGAAGGGGACACAAGTTTCGCAAAAAATCACGTTAGCACGTGCAGCCCCCTAAGCGGGGTTGACACCACCCCCAAAATCTTAAATGGAAAGCGGGATCGAGTGATACCTCATTTTAAAGGTCTTTCAATTCCCTTTATAATGATGTAAAATACATGAGCTTCAGTTCAGTAGTTTTGAAGATTTATTGATTTAAAGCTTAAAGTAGACTTTAATAGGTGTATATAATATGTATCATAGTATTACTAAAATAATTTTTTTCCTTTATTCTGTAACCACGAATTATTTGTCACACATTTTATAGAAATGCATTATTTTTTCAGGAATAATGACACATTCCTGTAAAGTTGCCAAAAAAGTAATAAAATTGGATATTTTTGAAAACATACTCATCTTTTATTCAATGAATCTGAAAATTCAAGAAACCTTATTTAATTGATAATTTTTCTAAATCCAAATTATCAACTTTATCTTCAGTTAAAAGTAATAAAATTGGATATTTTTGAAAACATACTGATCTTTTACTCAATGAATCTGAAAATTCAAGAAACCTTATTTAATCGATGATTTTTCTAAATCCAAATTATTAACTTTATCTTCAGTTATCTGAAATTGTTCTTCAAAAAATATTAAAAATGACTCTACTGAAAAAAAAATTTTTTTTTGAATAGTGTCACATGCAAAAAATAGCAACTGTTTCAGTGTGTTGAGGTAGCAAACTTCCAATCAACGTAAAGAACTTTTAAATTTAGTTTATGAAATACTGCGTTTTGATAGTAAGAATAGTAATAATTATTATATACCAACTCTTGGCGATTTTTTTTTTGAAACTAAAATTATACTTAGGCAATAATTTATTTCAAAAAATCGTAGTAATATACAGGGTGACTTCGAAGTTGAGTCATTTATTTTAACAGTGAGTAGATCTGATCAAAAGAAATGTTTTTTCCTTTACCATTTTTCTGGTAAAATTAAAGTAACAAAGTTATAGCCCTTTGGAAGTTTGAGTACCGCCCTGTCTCAATAATAATATCATGTGCTCGTGTTAGGCAACAACGGATATAATCCGCCTTATCGGTTCATCGCATCGGAAACAAACAAGCGAAAGAATTTGGAATGATGTTTTTACAATTATTTTATTCAGTTCAGTTATACATACAGTCAGTGTCAGTCGGTAAGGCGTGTGAATAGTGTCTGTTGCGTGGCTCAAACGAAATAAAAAATGGCACATGTTTATGCGGATCGGTTTCCCAATCGAGTGCAACCAACCCCTCGTGCCTTTGTTAATGTAGTACAACGTGAATCAGGTGACTTAAGACCTCACAGGGGACCTCACGATCAAATACAGGTCCGCTCTGAAATACTTGTCGGGAGGATACTTTTTAAAACAAGGTAAAAATTTTTTTTTATTTTTACACACATATTTTGGTTTATCTTCCTTCTACAATCATTATCTGAAAATTAATGACTCAACTTCAAAGTCACCCTGTATATTACTTATTATTATTTGCCGAAGTTGGTTATAACAGAAGAAATTCTGATACACACTCTGTGCTCGAATTTTGCATGAGTTGTGCCAACTATCTTTTTCAGTTATTTTTTTATCGTACAATGTTTAAAAATATCTGACCTGTGTTAGATTTTATACCAGAAAAGGTACCATATACATACCAGTCCATCTATTTCGGGTTCGTTCGCCAAGAATGGCTTCCTGTCCCTCTCCTGGTGTTGAACAAATGCTTGAATATCCAAATTGAAGGCTTCGCTCGACTGCGGATCCGGTGACTGCGTGGCAAGCTCACATCTTTCGAAAAGGAGTGCCAACAGCGGGAACAGTGGGTGTCTGCAATATAATATCCGGGATGAACACAATAATTTATTCACTTTTCCACGTGATTTATAAGCAAACATGGTATACCAGAAGTCGACGTCAAGCCGGAAACGAGGTATAGGCCACGTCATAATAGTTACAGAAAAATATAAAACAAACCTAAGGGCCAATTTCACCACCTATAGCGTAACAGCCCGTTAAATACAGCAAATGAGCTTCAAGTTCCAATCAACAGATTTTAACAACCAATAGCTATGAAATGTTGAAAACAAAATATTGTCAAAGTATGAGATGACATCTTGTCATTGAAACATCACCAGCTTATTGAATATTAAGAAATTACATATACTCGTAATTCAGTCAAAATTTAAACAAATGTTTGATTTTTGAATAAAATTCATGTTTTAATTACCATTGTTGATTTTTTATTCATGATAATATTATTTTCTTCAATTGATATGCGATTTTACTGATTCAATATCATCTACTGGGTGTTTTTTCCTATAAACCTGTTGCAGATAGCCATTAGGCACCTACTTAATGGCTCTACCAAACATTTCATAGATATTGCTCGTTTCCAAACATTCATTCATTTACTTGACGTTCATCAGAACCATTATGGCACCTTACATTGATATTCCCACAAAACCATTCTGGTTTTTTGATATCCATACATCCATAAAGATGAATATTTTTCGTTGTTCAGGAACTTAACAAACATCCACACTATATTCACAGCGATTAAGAAATACCCAAATAAAGTAGATACCAAACAAAATCCGATGCACGTCATCAGTCGTGAGCTGTGCACTGTTGCCAGACTTTGCACATTATCTTTTAAGCAAATAAATCATTTAATGAAATAAATTTTAATATATACCCAATACGAGTATTTACCTACTACCTTTATATTAAAAATAAATAACCTTGTTGTTGTAAAATTAATAAGCGTAAACTCACCTCCCTTACAGCAGTTAAAGGTAAAAGTGGGCCGTTAACATCCAGTTCCCGTTCGGAATATTCTAATAAGCATGATATAAGCTCTTTACACTGACCGTTAGGTTGCTTTGGCATTTTGTATACTTTACACCACTTCACACTAAATGTTGTTCCGATGAACAATTTTTAATTGCAAGGCCACGGTGTAAAGCTTAAGTAGCGCAAAAACTCACAAGTCAAACAATAGTACGACAAAACAATGACAACTGATGTCAACAAATAAGACGCGGCAACCTCACATTTCTCTGCACGGCACTACCACTGCAAGTAGAAATGTGACCTTGAATGTGGTCTATAGTTGGAGACCATGCTTTTTATGAATTGCATCACTAATGACGTGCATCACATTGTGTTTGGTATCCACTATATATGTCGTAGAGCTACCAGCAAACCTAAAACCTCAAGAAAAACTATAAATTTGCAATATTTTTCTTTTTTCACTGAGTAGATATTCTGGGTTATATTTATATTAGACGTGATTTGAATACAGCTGATTATTGCATTTTAAGGAGTGACACATGTGTGGGCTCTGTCAACTCTTGGTACCAGTCACAAAACATACTCTGAAGGTTTAATTCCATGCTATTCAATCACAATACGATGACTTGTGTGGTTGTCAGCGGCCATTTTATGAGGGTGCGACAGGGTTGCCAGATTGAGCATTAATATCCCGTTTCACCCTCCTGGTCCTAGTGGAGTAAGTTCCGCCAACTGTTGAAATAGACTCTCCTATGCTTTATAAGACTATTCGTGACATTTTTCCCAACATGATTGCACAACACTTGAAAAAATGCAACTGAAAATTTAAAATTAGTTCCATGACGCCGCAAAATAGCTCCGTCGGTACCTTGGGTTATACATCTTGACAGTAGGGATGTTCGATAAGATCCTATATTTAGAAGTATCAATATATTTCACGAGTATCGTCATCTTTCGATCCGGACTGTGTCAGAAAGAGTGACTGTCATTTGGCTGCGACATTACCCTGCCAAATCAGACATATCTTTCATCATCATCAATTTTGACCATTGTACCATCTATCCAGCTCTCACCATGTTACTGGACGTTTCCCTCATCCTATACGTAAACAACAATTAGCAACATCCTCACATACTACTCTCCTGATGATGATGGCAAAGTCCATTGAAAGCTAGAGAGAATTAAAAAAGTATAAAGAGTCCTCTTTGCTTAAATTTTGTCGAAGTACCCAACAAAAGGCGGAAGCTTTAATTTTATATATATATATATATATATTCTTGCAAAGACAGACAAATCCACACTATTCAACAGGTATGTAATGATAACTTTCAGTATATTGAAGTTGGTAAATTCGAGAGTGCCATGCATTAACAAACGTCCAAATCTGCTGCCAAATTTAACAGCTAGAAAATCGAGCTATTATTTGTCGCATTCCCATTCGCTGAGGGGGATAACGGATTGTTAAACGTAAACCTATAACATATATCAAAATACATGAAAGCTGTCCTGTTTTTTCTGTACAAAAGCAACATGTTGGAATCAAAAAGTGGTCTTGTTTATAATACAGTCGAATTTTCACGATTTTATTCAATATTTCAATAGAAATCACTGATATTCTGAGAGCTTTGACAGCTTCCGTCAAATTGTATTTTCCCATTGGTCCTTAATATTAATGTTGGTGAAATCGGCTCTAAGTCGTATACTTTTCTTATAGGCTTCGAAAAAATCGGAAACAACCACACCTTGTGATGATCTTTTCGTTCCCATTACTATAAATTGCGTTTTTTTTTTCTCAGACGAAATGACGGCCTACTGGATCTCCTGATTTGACGCCATAACAATTCTGTTCACTTACTTGTAAACGGCTCGTTTGTCCGCCTCGAACTGCGCCTGCTCGGAATCGGACGGTGAGTAGGCGGTGGCGGCGTGCGGAGTTTGAACTGAGGCGGAGTTGTGCGCCGCCCCCGGCGGTCCTCCGGGCCCCGCCCCTGTCACTGGCTCCCCCACCCCTACGCTGACGCCAGGCGGAGTTGTCGGTACGCCCAACATCGCTGCAGCTGCGGCACCGCCGTGGCTCTGCACTCCGCACTCCATGCCACAACGTGCGCGTCACCTGGAATCAATAGAGGCGACGATTATAATCTATAGTCTTCTGTTGCGGCACTCTGTGATATAACAGACAATATAACAATGGCACTTGATAACCAAAAAGCAGTAGCTCTCATACTTCTTGACGTTACTAAAGCGTTTGACACCATTAATCACTCACTTCTTGTATCTAAATGCAGTTATTATGGATTTTCTGAGAAACTTCTTTCGTTTATTCAAACCTACCTTGTAAATCGGTATCAAAAAGTTCGTCTAAATCAACAGTACTCTACGGAACAAAAAATTTGTTCTGGTGTACCACAGGGATCAGTCTTAGGACCGCTATTATTTTCATTATATATCTCAGATTTAGAAACAGATGTAAAATCATGCAGCATACAATTTTTTTGCAGATGATACTCAAGTTTTCTATTAATTTAGGAGTAATGACTTCGAAACGGCAAATAATAAAATTAATCAAGATGTTGCCCAAATTGAAAAGTTCAGTAGTAGTCACAATCTTCGTTTGAACCCTTTGAAGACAAATATGTTGGTATACGCAAATAGAACAAAAAAGAATACCTTAAAAAAGGACATAGACATACATTTAAAAGGTAATAAATTAATTCCTGTGGATCATTCGAAAAACCTAGGTATTATAATGGATGATGACTTAAAATTTGTTGCACAAGTGAACTATCTAATTACTCAGTGCTACGCTATTCTCAGAGTTTTATTTGCAAATAAGGCTATATTACATAAATCTGCGAGAAAGCAATTGTGTGAATATTTCGTGTTTTCAAAGATATCGTATTGCTTAGTGGTTTACTATTCGTATTTAGATATTATAAACAAGAAATTGTATTCAAAGTATTATGAATACATGTTGCAGACTTGTAAATGATCTCAGAAAGTATGATCATATATCGAATGCCATTAATGAACTCAAATGGATGAAAATTGATAAAATGTATAAATACCAGCTCCTAAATCTGACTCATAAGGTCCTTTATTCAAAAACACCGTCATATTTAGTAAACAAATTCATACGTAGAGGGAATATGCATCGTATTAATATTAGATATAGAGAGAATTCCACGCCCCAGCACGTCTCTATTTCATAATACATACATTTACAATGCGATCAAATCATATAATTCTTTAGACCGCAGTTCAAAAGAAACCAATCCATTATCCAAATTCAAGAAAAAAGTAAAAGAAGTTCTTCTTGATCAGCAGCGAAATCGGTTGTAACCCATAAGTGTCCTCATATTTTCCTTATGTATTTACTTGGATTATACTTTATTCTGGCGTTATTGTATACAGGTGCCTGTTAATTTTCAACAAATTCTTTTTTTTTACATCTCGTATTGTTAAGGGGGTTAGATGGTAGAATAGATGTATAACCTAAATCTCGCCTCCTGTAAGAATATTACAAATAAAAGACGTTAATTATTATTATTATATCATACGAGGTCTGTAAATTAAGTAATGAGACTGGTAGCGATTCGATCTGACAACACATATTTCCGCATTAGCTATTTTAAGAGAGGAAGGAATAAGCTTCAATTTTAAATCAAACTTTCCATCGTGTTCTTCTGTTTTATTTGGCTGTATTAGATTTCCCTTCTTGCTAAATGGATTTATCATCTATTTTTTTCACTCGCCCACAATAAAAATTATTTTTTATTTTCCCGTTCAATTTAAAACAAATAATCGCTCTTGAATTGTTTTCCTTCGATGCGCCATTTTTGAGTAAAAAAATAAAAACCGTTCTATTGTCTAACTTGCAAAATTATTATTACAGTGGACCCCCGATAATCCGGCCCTTGTCTAATCCGGCGCCCCCTGTAATCCGACATGTCTGTGAATATGTATTACATACATACGTATTTGACAATCTTCGCTAATGTACGGCCTAGCGTGCGTTCATTGTTTACTATTTATTCATTGTGTATTAAGTATAGTACCTAGTAATGTCATCACAAACTCAGAAGCGAAAGCACAAAACATTGACAATTAAAGAAAAATGTGATATTTTAGACCGCTTAAATCGCAATGAAACTTTGAGTAGTTTAGCAAGTGAATACGGAGTAGGCCGATCTACAATTTATGACATTAAAAGAAACCACGAGAAGATCAAGAAGTACGTGTCAACTACTGACTGCGGGCCAGGCAAGAGACAGACACTCAATAAAGCTGAACATCCAGAAGTGGAAGAAGCTTTGTACATGTGGTTTCTTCAGGAAAGAAATAGGCATGCACCAATTTCAGGACCCATGTTGGCCATGAAAGCTAAGTTTTTTATAAGGAAATAACAAAACAAGACGATTTTGTGGCCAGCAAAGGATGGCTAGAACGTTTTAAAAGTCGTCATGGCATACGTTTAATGACTATTACAGGAGAGAAACTTTCTAACGATGCCACCTGCATAGAGCCCTTTAAATTAAGATTTTTGCAAAAGGTGAATGATTAAAATCTTAACCCGTCACAGGTGTACAATGCAGACGAATCAGGGCTTCTTTGGCGTGTGATGCCTAGCAAAACATTCGTTTCTTGTAACGAAAAATCCGTACCTGGACGAAAAGTAAGTAAAAAGCGTGTTAGCATACTACTATGTGCTAGCGCTGCGGGCACACACGCGCTTAAGATGATGGTCATTGGGAAATCTAATCAACCACGAGCATTCAAAAACATTGATTTACCTGGACACTATTACGGACAAAAAAGTGCATGGATGACAAACGACCTTTTCAAAAAGTGGTTTGATGAATGCGTCGTACCTGAAGTTAGAAAATGGTTAACAGATCATAATTTTCCTCAAAATGCGTTGTTGCTTCTTGATAACGCTCCCGGTCATCCGTCAGAAGAAGAACTAACAACTGAGGATAAATGCATCACTGTGAAGTTTCTTCCGCCAAATTGCACTGCACTGATTCAACCAATGGACCAGAATATCATTCAGTTTGTCAAGCAAGACTATAAGAAAATCCTACTTCTGAGAGCCATATCAAAAGACCAACCAATAAAAGAATTTAATATGAAAGACTTGGTTTTTGCTCTTTGTCAGTCGTGGAATGCGTTACCGTCATCAACTATCAAATCGACTTGGAAAAAGTTATGGCCAGATATAGTCACCACTCCTAGCAACGTTCCACAAATCAGTGTTACTTCGGAAGTTATAGAACAAGTCGCTACTGAAACACAGATAAGCCCGGATTTGGAAATCTGGTGCCGCGGACTGGATAAAGAGGAAAATGTTTTTCATGAAATGTCTGACGAAGAGATTATAAAAAAGGTTTCTAATTATACAACAAACAATCAGGAAAATAACGACGACGTGATTGCAACTGCTCCACAAGTCACAGCACAAGACGCAATTAACGCATTTGAGCTAGGTTTACAATGTGCTGAAGAGAATGGTACATCCTACAACGAACTTTTACTTTTGAGAAGACTGAGGGAGAATGCTCTAATCTCGCGTTATAATAACCTTAAACAAAAAAAAATTATGAATATTTCCAAGCTTCATAATCTGATAAATTCATTAATGATTTTGATTAATAATTCTTGATTATTTTGGTACATATGTATGTGCATTTATGCTTAATTTTATAATAAAACGTAAGCTCTCTATTGTTATTTAATTTACTAAATTCGACATACATAAACTATATATGATTTGTACTTCAAAGTACATACATAACATATCTTACTATTGGATATGTAATTTGTCGGATTACAAGGTACTCTTTTGTAAAAAATTCCGGACTATAGGGGGTCTTAGGCAGTGCTCTACAATCCGACAAATTCGATAGTCCGACACTGCCCTGCATAATGTTTGTCGGATTACCGGAGGTCCACTGTACTCATAAGTGATGAAAATAGTAATAAGAAAGATTACGTTATTTTGGACCGGACACCCGGCGTGTCACGATTAGCACTGTAATGAACCACAATCGCACAATCATCCTGTAAGAAAGAAGAAGCAACTTCTGCGGAATAAAGTTTGAGAGATCGCATCGGCGCTGCGACGGGAGCAAGTTTAATCTGAACCGGATGAATGTAAGTATGGATGGATAGCGATATAAAAGGAGTAGTATCTCTCTCGGCGGAGAGTGCCTGATGGTGCAAAATCTCGGGAAGAGGAGATAAAAAACAGCTGGCCCAAGCAATATTTGGTTAAAATTAATAAAAGAACATCGCTCGGTGCCGGCGACGCCGGCAGACGGGCGTGGGGCGGCACGCCGCTTCGCCATCGACGGGCCGCGATGGCTTTTTGAACAGCAGCGGGGATTATGGAGGTTTTATACAGGGTGTCCGCAAAGTTGGGGTTTTCCTTTTCAGAAACAACTACCCTTGAAATAACAAAGGTAATGTGTAGTGAAACGAGGGCGACCAAGTAAAAAAAAAATAAAGGAAAAAGTACTCACTCTCCAGTTGACGAGAAGGGCTAAGTACGTCTCTGCCCGAAATCGTACCGCTCCAACAGAAAATGAAATCAGCTGATGCGCTACCGAGAAGACGCTGGCAAACAAGGAAGGCAAAATGTATGCGTAAAAAGTCTAGGTATTGCATCCCGTCCAATCGATTTGGGAGAATAAATGGTCCAATGAGCATACCGTTCACCATGCCAGCCCAAACATTCACCGAAAATGTTTGTTGAAAATGTGACCAAACATGAGTGTTGCGAAAGTGATTCACCCCATTACGCGTGAACGTAGATTCGTCTGTCACCAATATGCACTTCAAAAAGTCCGGATTATTGTCATGTTGATGTAACAACCACTCACAAAACCGCACTCTTGCTGGAAAATCATCAGGTTGAAGGGCGTGTACACGTTGGACGTGAAACGGATACAGCCCCTCTTCACGCAGCGTTTGCCACACTTTAGTTTTTGATACTGGCACTTCTCAATATATCATTCTGCACTGGGAAATTTCCTTGTCTGCTAAAAACAGGAAAGGTGATTCCAGTATACAAAAAAGGGGATCCCTCTGAGCTGAGTAATTACAGACCAGTAA